ATGTTCGCCCGACGGCAGGCACCGGTCACGGGAGGGGCGCCCGGAGTGTCGTCGAACTTGAAGCCGCACTTATGGTGCCATAAATGTACGTTAAGTCGTCCGCTGGAAACGTACGACATGTCACACCAGCTGTGAGTGCATCTGTGCGGCCGCTCCCGCGCCTCACCACTGGCCGGGTGTTTGTGTCTCACGTGAAGGCCAAGGGCTCCACCGTTGGACGCCTGGAAATCGCAGCCCTTGTGTCGACACTTATACACCCGTTTACGCCTGTCATCGGTCATAGAGTGGCCACTCGCGGGCCAATCGCTCGCATACGACTCGTCAAACTCTTGACCGTCACTCTGGCCACTGATATCGGCGTCCTCTTCATCGCTGGTCACGACCTTTGAGTTCAACTCATTGTCGGACTGAAGGGACGGAGAAGGCGTCGGCAGAGGAATGTCAACCGATTGGACGCCCATTTGGCGCGCGTGTTGTGTCCGCACGTGTTGTGTCCTCACGTGCGCGACGATAGCCTCTTCGCTGTCCTCGACTTCATTGCATTGATTGCCGCCGAAGACACAGATATACCACTCTTTGTCGTTGATTATCGCCGAGTCGTACCACTCTCTGACTGAATCCATGTCTTCGTTGTCCACAACTATAACCAGTCGTTCACTAATTGATTGAAAAAATAATTAATTTTTATAACATTTAATAATTATTACAATTAATGATTAAACGCAACCATTTTTACATAACATGTAAACTCTATTAACAGGTGTTTTGCTAACAAAATGGTTTCAAACAGTAATTAGTAATTAAAAACTTACGTTAATTTTTATTAATTTTAATTGCATTACAAACTGTATTAGCATTTAATGGCATTTAATTAAAATTAATACTTAAATACGAGTTTCGCGTCATTTGATAACCACTTGTGTTGACAACACTTTAATGTGACAAATGTACACAAATTACAGCAAAAGGGGGTGAAGTGTATGAGTAAACACTTATAGCGCTACTAACGTTATATAAATATCTTATATTGATTGGGGGTTAATGTATTGACACGTTATTTATTAATAATGTTTGCATCATCCAATAATTGACAGTATATGTGTTGCCGTCACAAACAGTGTTACTATTTATTCGTTCAAATCCCTGTTTGAATGTGTTGTGAGGGGTATTCCCATTACAATACTATTGCAAAGGGGATTATATGATGTGAATGATTCATATAAAACGTGCGCTTAATATGCGCTAAACTTGAATTCATCAAGCTCATTGAGTTTTAAAGTTTTAATCACAATAATTATATAAATAAACGTTTTATAAATCAACTAAAAAAACTTTTTAAATTAATTTATTAAAAATTCATAACCAATTTAGTCGATAAACATTTACAATGAATGTAAATATTCAGGATTTGATAACTTTTAAAAATGTAAAAATAAAGTAAATAATTAAATACTAATTGCAAAACATATATAATTATAACACAATTATCTCGACTGTAAAAGAGATCAATGATTTGTATAAAAACATTAGCCATCAGTAACTTTGGACTTAATATCTATTCACTCGTCGTCAGAACTGTCATCAGAGGTCATATCGACGGCCACTCGCGTCCCACTGTCTCGACGGCGAAGATTAGGCCGATTGGGACAGACGTGTTGGCTATGGATGTGATCCTTCAAAGTGGTCAACTTAGCCGCCAAATACTCGCAACCACTGAACAAACACCGAAACGCCTTCAGACCGGCCGTTGTCTCCACTCTCTTCACGTATTGGCTAATGTTTTCGCGACGGCAAACACCAGCCACTGATTGGGCGCCGGGAATGCCATCCAAGTTATAGCCGCACCGATGATGGCCCAGATGTACGACGAGTCGGGCGCGCGTGGCGTACGTGTAGTGACAGCCGGAGTGCGTGCAGCGGAACTCACGCGGTATAGCGCGGCGGCCGCCGTCCGGATGGGCGCACCGCACGTGAGTGGCCAGCGATGCGAGTCTGAGGGTCTGGTAATGGCATCCCTCGCGCCAACACTTGAACACCAGTTGACGGCTTTTGGTTGGTTCGCGAGTTTGGCCACCCGTTGACACTCGTGGCCGGCTTTGGCACAACTCGGCGCCCGACTCCTCGTCCGACTCAATGCTATGCCAATTGTCTTCGGAGTCTTCGGCATCCGATTGGACGGACGCCGACAGACAGATAGAGTCCAGGAGAGCGTTGGCCACCGATTGGCGCAAGTGTTGTGTCCGCACGTGTAAAACGATCGCCTCTTCGCTGTCCTCCACTTCATTGCATTGTTTGCCGCCGAAGACACAGATATACCACATCTGGCCGTTGATTATCGCGCAGTCGTACCACTCTTTCACTGAATCCATGTCTTCGTTGTCCACAACTATAACCAGTCGTTCATTAATTAATTAATCAATTAATGGTTTCAAACTTTTAGCGCTAAACTATTTATATTTTTTTTAAGTAAAAACTTTTATTAACACATGTTCTGAATGTAAGAGTTGGTCATAAAATACGTTGAATGGGAGGGAAAGAGAAAAGAGGTTTATAAGTATGAGTATTAATACTGTATATGAAAAGGGGGTCAAAACAAAGCCGACGTTAATTATGGACAACACATGAGCGCCTGTTTTGAAGTGTAAACAAAGCAATGTTTTTGTTGTAATAAAAGTCATATTTATGTGAATTTGTTTTCATTTAGTGATAATATTTCAGTGCTTTTGGATTATCTCTCAGTTAGCTATGGATTAAATTACTAAATCATTTGACTTAAAGCATCACAACATTAATAATCTGATCCATGGATTGAGACATTAATTGTGAATTTGGGACAAAATATAGTAAAAGTTTATTACAAACCATTGGAAGGATGCCATATATAATGTTGAAAAATAACATTTGTTTAAAAATCCATTTATTTATCAGACAATTGTATTAAAATAATGTTAAGTTTGACAACACTTTAAGTCAAATGATTTGTTAATCAAATCTTTAGTTGAGAGATAAACCAAAAGCACTGTTGTTTTGACACTAAATGTAGCAATAAATAGTATTTTAAATAATTTCAAAGTATTAATGAAATAAAATGAATGTAATTAATAATTAAATATTTAAAATGTTATAAAAAGTTATGAAACGTAATATTTTTCTATGTAAAAAGCACTCAATAATTTTATATAAATATCTTGTAATCTAAAAATTTAAACACAATTCGCAGAGTATTGACTACAAATGTTTTTAAGTCCGCGTTCGCCGTACTCTTCGGCCAAACCTAACAGTTGTCGACAGTTCTGGTCATTCACTTCGGGTCGCAATCCATACAAATACTTGAGAAACGCTTCAATTGTGTCATAAGAATAGGCGTTGATCTCGATATCCCTTTCATTAATCATATTTTGTTCACATATTCTCCAAAACTCTTTGTTTCTAATCTTGAGAACAGTTTTGTGACAATAAATCACTTTATTTTCGACAATAAATCTTAAATCAGAATCCAATCGATTGTCAAACGCTTTCAATAAATGCTTTTGAAAACAACTGAAAAATATAAAAATGAATTAACAATTAATTTAACACATTATCAACATTTACCCCAAAATCCTATGACTCCAATCAATGCTATTATTGTCAACGGTTCCCGTATTAGTAGGCAATCGATCGGCTTCTTCGTCGTCGGCATCAGAGGAATAAATCTCTTCGTCACTATCGGTGAATGTCTTCATCGATGGCACAAACTTTCGGATAAACTTGAATATTGACGCAAAAGTGCGATCAAAACCACAATATTTGGCGTAAATGTCAAACAGTGAACAACCGATCGATACATCGATAGGAATACACGTCTTGGCCGGACCTGCCTTTCCCAGAATAGAGTGCTGGCCATCCATATCGGTCACTATAATCATGTGATTATCGTAAGCGCTGTCCATGTATTTAAAACGTTTGTTTTCACAAATGTCTTCGCTATTGGGATCGGCCGACCATTCGCTGTCACCCAACACATGGATAGCACCGGACGGTGACATAAGCACAGTATGATTGGGTCCGCACATCAACGCACGGCAAACGCGCTTCTCGTAACCGCGCAGTGCGTGCGGACAACTGTACGTCTGACCCGTGACCACACGGGCTTTGGGACCCAACTGTTGCGAATCATTACTGCCCCACACGTAAGCGGTTCCCGTGTCTGACAGACCGCATGAATGATTACGACCGCAAGCGATGGACTTAAACTTCACATCAATTGGGACACCATTTACTTGTATTTCAATTGACACTATAGTTGGCACACAAACCAATTGCCCCTCTGTTTGGCCGCATTGGCGCCGATCGTTGGCCCCAAAGCTGTAGATCAGGCCATCGATTGTCAGCACAAGACTGTGATTATCTCCACATGAGATGTCTTCCACTTCTTTGGGTTGTAATGCATTGCTTTGTATTTTAATTGATTGAGGGGTTAACACGTCTTCAACAGATCCGATGCCGATCTGTCCGCACGCGTTATGTCCCCATCCATAGCACTGTCCGCCACTCGTGAGTCCCAAACAGTGTCCCAAACCATAGCATATCTTCATTATCTTCGCTCCGGTGAGAGTGGGATTGATGTGTGGTTTTGCGATCAAACCATTCACTCCGAGTCCGAGTCGACCGAAACGGTTGGCACCGAAGACGAAGACAATGTCATTAGTGGTGACGACAATCACTTCTTCGCCGTTATCACCGAAAACAGACAATAATTTAATCCTAAGTTTGTCGTCCTCTTCGGTAACCACCAATTGTGGACACAAATCGGGAAACGTTTGCAAAACACACAAACTATCCATTCTTTCAATGCATGTAATTATTAAGTAATTAAACAATTATTTATAATCAAAACACAATTAACAGTAAAAAACAATTCAAAGTTATAAAAGTTGCCAATAATTTCATCACTAAATAATAGCGATTGGGTTAACACAAGTGACACAACCAATGCTGACATCTGTGCCTATTTTCATGCAATTCACGTAAACAGCGGTAATGTTGTGATGCTTTAAGTCAAATGATTTAGTAATTTAATCCATAGCTAACTGAGAGATAATCCAAAAGCACTGAAATATTATCACTAAATGAAAACAAATTCACATAAATATGACTTTTATTACAACA